CACTTTTTCACGTGACTTCAAAGGGCCTAACTACTAATTATCTTTATTCTTATCAAACACAATTTATTAATTTATTAGCAAGTCACATCATTTTCATAATTTTGGGCTTTTGTATAAATCTAGCCTGAGCACTATAATCTGATAAAATAGTTGTAACTTTATCTAATAAACCAGGTATCTGCATTTTAAGGTAAATGATGTATTTCAGAGTTTTACTCGAAGATGATATGTTTGTTTTTTATATATGCAATACTATTTATGCATAATTTAAATTATTACCGACTAAAAAGGAATAAAAAATTATCGTATTCCAAACTCTATCACAACCGGAGGGTAGTATTGTAAAAAAAAGTATTCTTCTTGTCATTATCCATACAGCGCCTATTGTCTGGAGTATTAATTGCAGGCTATTAGAAAGTCGTATCCTACTAGGTATCGCTGTTCATTTTCAATAGTCATGTTCTCACCAGATCTTCTTACCATGAAATTTCCGCTGATTTGAGCTTTTTGATTATCACATACCTCTGCTCCTCATACGAATTCTAATGTGGGGATTTTCTCATTCATAGTTTTCATGTTCTTCAATTAGCGTTAGAATGAAATACCGTCAATAACTGGGGCCTAAAACACTTTTCTACCACCGATTTGCCGTCGATTGAGTTTTCAACTCAATTCTCTTGTGAGCACGACTAAAATCAATTAACCTCTAATAATCATGCATTTTTTTAGCGGAATGAAGCTGGGATATCGAATTCGACATTACATCCATATCGTTTACCACTTGCTATGCCATACTTCAGTCTTCCACTCTGCAAGAGTGTTAGGCATAAGGGTTTATGGTGTTGGTTCGACCTTGTTTTCATTACTTAGTCAGAGCTTCAGGGAGAGATTGTGGAACGTATCTAGTCCCATGTTTTCTGCCATAGTATTTGTGATTTCCAACATTGGACCATTGGCTAGGCACATTCCCAAACATTTCGCTGGTATCGTCAGTGAGAGGCACCATCGTAGGCACATAGTTACAACTTATCAGAGGCAAGTAAAGCCAATTTTATTGACCAATTTTATGTAAAACCATATACATCTTGGTCTTCATATCTACAATATAGGTTTATGCTCTCATTTTTTGCATTTTATCTGTGTGTTTTGTATCTCTATGTTGTTATTCTACTTTTTTATGCATTAATCCTCTTTTTTACTTGTATTTGTGGGGTTCCATTCTTTTTCTCTTTGACTAGCCACTACTGGCCGCAGCTATGAAAATGCAGCACGGCTTTACGACGTTAAGCTGGGCGACTGGTCAGGTCTAGATAATTCATCATACATCCACGAACTTCTTGGAATTGGCATTTTGTTTATGCGGGCCCTCCGTGAGCTGCGATATGTGCATCGTAGACGCTTTCGCTTTTCTAATGAGGAGCATGACCCTGCTCTTTACTTCACACGCAATATGACCGTCATTGAATATATACACGGCCTGGTATGCTTTGTTTAACCAGGTCCTCTAAATCAAGGCTGGTTTCGGATTACTTTATAATCTCACTTAAAACAGTACTATTTGTGTCTTATGAAACTTGCATTTCTTTAATTTTGTAATTTCAAGCTACAATTTACCATGACTCATCGACACTCCCACCTGCCAAGGTAAACATCAGGCTTTATTTGTGTCCTCAATTTTGATGTTTTTCACTTTTAATTCACAGTCAGTTTATCTTAATCTCACCAACAACCATTAAGGGAGCGGTTATTTCTCAATCCATGCAACACCATTTGGAACATGGCTCATCGGCACTATGTCCTTTCGCGATTAAGCCAACCTAATCACCGCATCGGGCCAGCCCATTAAACGAATCAGAACATGGCGTTAAAAATGCACAAGAATATTTTGATCGAAGATATGAAGGCCAAGATGGTGGGGCCCTCGATTTATAAAGGTGGGTTGACGTTGTTTTCGCAGCAGTGTCTTGTTATCAAGATGACTTAGTTAAGCGCACCTTGTCCAAAGTCCTCTGTTTCGATGAACCTCCCAAGATAACATTGTTGGGGGGACTTTAATTTCGTATGAAGGTGCATGAAGCAGAGATTCGTAGGTCGATCTCACTAGAAGAGGATGATTTAATCCCGTTGTACCGCAGCCTAATAGGTTTGGACAAGTGATTTCGCAACTTAACATACACGCACACATACAAGCACTCGAATCAAAGTAGCGGAACCATTCTACCTTTATCTAGGCTTTTTCATTTTCTTTTGCCTAATTTATTTTTTATGAGAGGTAAAATAGAGCTGGTCAGTCTTGCCCTAGTGATAACTTTAGAGTTTTGCAAGAATGAGTTCCAGCTCTGATGATGTCCATCATATGATGGGCGAAAGCTCAGCCCGTTTTCATTTGAAACAAGGGGGGAAGTTTCGTGGACTGTCAACCTGAATGTAGTGCAAAAGCCAAAAGGCTACAGTACAACGGGATTCAGCCATCCTCT